CCTCCTCGGTATTCAGAGAGTTAAAACGTTGCTCCTGAACGAGGAAGAAATGTAAAAGTCAAAGCTCTATAGACGTCCTGTAAAAGTGGCCATAATAAATAAATTGGTTAGAGATAAGATGCTTTTTAAACGACTTCCTCATATAAAATCGGGTGCTGGGACCAATCTTATAAACGCTTTAGAATGGACAGGGCGTCACTGGCTAAAGTTTGGGTGCAGAAAACGGCTAATAAATGCAAAATGGTTTTCATGCATTTCAGTCAATTGTATATTGACGGTCCCAGTGGCCGAGCTAAAAAAAGTTATGTAGTGTTTTGCATCTTTTACGCCCTAAGAAACTACACCATCTGTTGAAGTGGGCGGGCTTATTTGAATGGGAGGTCGCATTATGCACCAATCGTGTGCTTTCGTTTGTTTTGGACTGTATTTTACCACATCCACTGCTGGTATCACTATTTATTATCTAATGCCGTGAATACGACAGCATTCCATTTATAAAATTCGACCAATGGAGTCGCGCCCCGCGAGCTCGGTTTTCCGCTCGGCCGCTACGGGCCGAGGAAGTCGGTCTTCGCCTGAGGGCAGGACGGAGGTCAGCGAGGGAGCGCGGGGTCAGCCAGGTCAGCCCAGTGCCGAGCGGATGCCGCTCCCTCCCCTCTCTTCCCCTCTTCTCCCCTCCCCACCTCGGTATAGATGGGGAGGGACCGAACTGCCAATGACATGCGAGCGGTCAAGGCCGCTCGCGCGCCAGCGACCCTGGCGGCCGGGTGCCGCAACTGGGATTCAGCCAAGTTAACGAATCGCCTCCTGTGGGAGAGCCAAACCAGGGGACATACTTTTTATATATACTGTACAGCGTGATGCCGCGTATCGCTGTCGATTGCTGAATATGGCAAAGGTTAAACAGATAACCTGATGCCGGGTCCCCCTGTCTAATTCCTCGATTCATAACAATTTTGTCTCCAAGATAACCGTCTAAAAGAATCCGGGAAAAGTTAGATTTATTTAGGTATGTAAGTTGTATTAAAGGATATAAAGTTTTGACCAAAATTGCAACAACTTAGTACGTTTTCTAGAAAACTCCATGATATACTTTCGAAAGTGGCTTCGAAATCTGCTGCAACTATAAAACCGGCGCCTTTTTCTGCATTTATTTTTTCGATAACGTCATACACAAGCCTACTGTTCTCTGCAATACATCGTCCTTTGATGTATGCTGATTGAGATGGCGATATTATATCGTTAATCACACTCTTTAATCGATTTGTTAATGCTGATGATATTATTTTAAAATCTACGTTTAATAGAGAGATGGGTCTCCATCCTTTCAATGAATCCGGTGATTTTCCAGACTTTGGTATTAAAGTTACGACGGCTTCTCTATGAGAGCCAGTGAAAGAGCCTTCTTTTACGCTGTCTTGAAAAACTCTGAACAAAAATATTCCGAGGTATTCCCAAAAGTGTTTAAAAAAGCTCGCTGTGAAGCCATTGGAACCAGGAGATTTTCCGTTTTTCATTGATTGAAGTGCGGCAGTTAATTCTGACATCGAAATAGGTTCTTCTAGGATTTCTTTTTGTTCCTCTTTCAGTTTATTTTTTACATTAAGCTTGATGAATTCGAATGAATACGTTTTGTGTACATTATCTATTGTATTGTATCGTGCTCGTAATTGCTCGCTGAAAGCAGATACTATTTCTCGCAAGTCTATGTGTATAGACTTGCGTTTAGCGTTTGTTTGTTCTAGAGACAAAAAGTACTTGGTACACTTTTCACCTTCATCGTGCCAGTGCACCCTTGATCTGGTAATTAGCCCCTGAATTTTTGGTTTCCTTATGGTTTCTAATTGTTTTTGAGCGAGCAAAAGACGATCTGCATTCGCCTCTTTCGAGCTTAGTGCAAATTCCTCTCGTAGCTTATTAAATCGTGATATTATCTGTTGTTCTTCATCGCGAGCTTTTCTTGATTTTTGTTTTGAGTATTTAATGGTCTCCCTTCTAATAAGTATGAGTAGTGTTTCATAAAATAATTTAATAGAAATAGTAAATTGGATTTCTCTAAAATTCTTTGGGCTCGATACAAAGGAGGTTGAGTACACTGGATTCGCGTATTGTTTTATTGTTTCGACTATTACCGATTCCACAATCGATATGTATTCTTTGTCTTGCAAGAGGGAGTCATTAAATTTCCATAAGCCCGGGCCGCGGGGTTCTGTGGTTATTTTCAAAGACATTGTTACGCAGTTGTGGTCGGTTCTGTATCCAGACAAAATATTGATGTTGTCTGTAAAATTAACTAGGTGGTCGCTTACGAATATCATATCGATTCTGCCGTGTTTTAACGGGTTACGTTTGAGCCAAGTAAATTCACGTAGGTTAGGGTGCATATGTCGCCAAACATCTATTAGGCTATGAGTTTGAGTTAATTCAATAAATTTGTTTTTCGCGCGTATGTTATTATCATGAAGGTAATTTGAGTCTGTAATGCGATTGATCACAAAATTAAAGTCACCGGCAATAATAATGTTATCTGGCGGAACTTCTTGTAACTTCTGGTTTATACCGGGTGGCCCAGAAAAAAACGTTCCCAACTTTAAATCAATATTTCTCAGAAAATGATAAAGACACAACATTGAAACTTCCAAGAGTCAATGCGGCATATATTTTCAGTAAATTGTATTATTTGTATGTTATTCGGGCAATTACCTTTTAAATGGTTCGTGTTTCTAGCATGCCATGTAAAAATTACTTTTTTGCTCAGATGTTTACTAAAAAAAAATGTGAGTGAACGGGCCACTTCCATCTCCGTACCACGGCCGGCAGCCATGACTGCTACTGCCAACTAGCCTCACTGATTGTTCAGGCCTTAGGGTGTCACATTCCCTGTAGCTTTTTTCCTTGTTCGGTCGATTTACTGATTGATCTTCTTGAAGGGAGGGCAATGGCAGCAGTAACCCATGCACCGCGCCACTCCTGCTCGAAACAGGACTCTGTTGCAACGAATGGCATCCATTAACACCATTTTGGCTCAGTATTTGAATATTCGGCACATAAGTGGGACAAAATATTTAAAATAACATCACTCGTGCTGGTTTCATTCGCGTGTACCATTTTTCTATTTTTTCCCTTTCATGTTACGTCTAAGCCAATCATCACTACCGTCCAACATCGGCAAAAAAAGCAAAAACGTCTTACTTAATTCAACATAAGATTGCTGGCTTGAAAATGATTACGGAGCGAGCGAAGCGAGCGTAGTCTTTCCTTAGATTAACAGAAATTTCTGAGTATGAGCGGCCGGCCGGCCGGCCGGCCGGCCGTGGTCACGCTTTTGCGAGGCTTATATCTCAGCAACCACTTGACCGATTTACACGCGGTAATTTTTGTAGGGTAGCTTCATTCCTGCTACCAAGTATTGGACTATTCCCGATGCATGTAGGTGACCCCTTATGCACGTGCCACGTGCAAAACGAAGAGGTGTCAGTTTTGTAATTGTTGCAATATCTCGGTAACTACTTGGCCGATTGCGCTGAAAGTTGGCATGTAGGTAGGCACCCAGTAGGGACTGCATATCCATGTGCCAGAGTTGGGGTGCTGCTGCACGTGCGCACGTGCAGGGGTCGTTTCCAGATCTCGGGAACGGCTGGACCGATTGCGCTCAAATTTGGTACACGGATAGGGACCGGTTAGTAGGGTGCCGTGCACAAGTCAGTTGGGACCCATTTTGCACGTGCGCACGTGCAGGGTGCCGCTTCCAGATCTCGAGAACGGCTGGGCCGATTGTGCCCAAATTTGGCACATCGCTAGAGACCAGTTAGTAGGGTGCCGTGCACAAGTCAGTTGGAGGTACCCCCTCGCAATTTCGCACGTGCAAGGCCCACCCTCTCGCTCGCTCCGTTAGTCGCCCCAAAAGGCGTTATACTGGTGATAGAGTGTTATAATTTGGCATACCAATGCGCAAAGAAGTGACGCAACCTTGATGAGAATTTTGGCTCGTTATTTGCACTCAACTTTGAGATATAGGCCTCCAAAGTTCGGAACGTTTTTTTTTTGGGGGGGGGCCACCCGGTATTTTCAAACAGTGATGGACAATCATCATTTGGCCCGTAAATGTTCACGAATGTATATATGTTTGAAAGGATTTTGCATACGATTAAGATGTAATTACCGTTTGGTTCGTGTTCTTCAGCTATAATATCGTGGTGCAAATTTCGCCTAATCAGTATTGATGTACCCCTACTGTTAAATGTTCCACAAGAATGGTAGCCCATTCCAGGCCACAGCCTATCAAAATTTGCAATGGACTCATTGGTAATATGGGTGTCTTGTAAGAATATTATGTCGTACTTGGAATTTCTTAACCCGCGCCCGGCTGGGGGTCCTGGATTTCCACGCCCTGCTGGGGGGGGGGGGTGTTTGAACATCCCCCTTGTAACTCGGCTCCTGGGCCACGTAGCGATACGCGGAAGGCGGCGTTCGAAAGAGCGTCAAAAACCAGTATAACGCCTTTTGGGGCGACTAACGGAGCGAGCGAGAGGGTGAGCCTTGCACGTGCGAAATTTCGAGGGGGTACCTCCAGCTGACTTGTGCACGGCACCCTACTAACCGGTCTCTAGCGATGTGCCAAATTTGAGCACAATCGGCCCAGCCGTTCTGGAGATCTGGAAGCGGCACCCTGCACGTGCGCACGTGCAAAATGGGTCCCAACTGACTTTTGCACGGCACCCTACTAACCGGTCCCTAACCATGTGCCAAATTTGAGCGCCATCGGTCTAGCCGTTCTCGAGATCTGGAATCGACCCCTGCACGTGCGCACGTGCAGCAGCACCCCAATTCCGGCACATGGATATGCATTGCCTAGTGAGTGTCTACCTACATGCCAACTTTCAGCGCAATCGGCCAAGTAGTTACCGAGATATTGCAACTGTTGACAATTCAACTTGACTCAACTCTCAACTCTCAAATAAATCCGAAAAATCTCCGACACAGACCTGGAGACACGTGGCTCAAGCCATTTCAATGCGTATATATTGAATCAGACGATTCCTGCGCACCACATCACATTTCTCAGGCCACGTCGACGACCGTCGAAACACTAAACCACTGCTAAAAAATAGTCGTTGAATCGCTGCCAAGAGAAGCGTTCACTAAATTCCGTAACATCCTCCCCCCTGAAATGCGAACTTCAGAGGGCGCGTTTCACACAGGTACGGAACCGATCTTACAACGACAGATCCATAGTTCACAGCGAACAAGACTGCATCACTTAATTCAATTCAGACAGATTCAGACAGAGAATCTGAGTCAAACGCATCAGTCTACAAACGCAAACGTAAATCGATTCACCACTCTTCAAACAAACAAACGCCAACCTCGACGCAAACGACATCAAACTTGTCACATCACCAGGGCCACTTTCACCCTGCACTCTGCGAGCCACCACACGCAACTGTCAACTCAGCGCGTCCTCTGCACGCCGCCTCACTGCTCAGAGCGACATCTACAGTCGGCGCCCAACACTACCTTGCCTGTAATCGCAGACGAGAGAAAAACAAACTAACACTGCTGACGAACACTGCGGTCTAACACCGCCGACGAATGTGAGCGGTTCACGGCTCAGAGGACAGCGGGTCGAGGTCAAAAAGCCTCTGGATGGGACGGGTTTTTAGACCAGACGGAGTCCGGACTTCTGCCGACCTCACCTTTCCGTCTCGGCCGGTGATCAGTCTCGTGACGACGCCATGTACCCACCTCATGCGCGGCACGTTATCCTCCTGCAGCATGACCATGGAGCCCTCGGACAGCTTACCTTGAGGCCTGAACCTTCTGACAGAAGGCGGCAGGGTCCTGACATACTCCTTGTACCAGACAGACCAAAATCTAGCCAGACGCTTCTCACACACACGAGCTCTCTCAGTCAGCGCCTTCGCATTCACACAGGCAGGGTCCTCCACCACCCGCGAGGAGAACCCGGTCCCTCTGCCCGTCAGAAAGTGCGCCGGGGTGATCGGGGGGCTCGAGTCCAGTCCATCACCAACAAACGTCAATGGACGGGAGTTAACACAACACTCAACTTCTAACAACACAGTCTCCAGCTCATCCCGTGACAGACAGCGTGACCCAAGCGACTTGCGCAGGCCCACTTTCACGGAACGGATGAGCCGTTCCCACCATCCGCCCCACCACGGCGAATGCGGTACAATGAAGCGCCACTCAGGCGCCAGATGACTGTAGACACGCTGCAGCTGCTTATCAGCTCCCCTGAAAGTAGGTGCGTTGTCAGAGTACATGATCCTTGGTAGACCGCGCCTGGCTGAAAAACGCCTGAGTGCTAGCATGAATGCCGGTAACGACAGGGCGTCAGTCATTTCAAGGTGAACGGCACGCGTGACAGCACACGTGAACAGGCACACGTAAAACTTCTTCCGTGGAAAATCGACGCTGAACAGGGGACCACCAAAATCAACACCAGTCACTGTGAATGGAGGGGACTGAGTCACTCTGCAGCCCGGCAGAGGCGCCGCCTCCTCGTTGAACGGTCGAGAATCGTGACGAAGGCAGCTGACACAGCCGCGCTTCACACCCTTGGCGATGCAGCGCAAGCCCAAGATCCAATACGCTCCTCTGAGCGAAGTCATCATCGTTGAGACACCCGCATGTTTCAGAAGAACATGCTGCTCTCTTGCCAAAAGCACAGCCAAGTGACATTTTGGCAGCAGAATCGGGTGCTTCTCCTCGTACATCAAGTCAGAGAACTCCAGCCGACCCCTCACTCTGAGAAGTCTATCGTCAGCGATAAACGGGTCGAGACCGATCAGGCGCGAGCCCTTCGGCAGCGACTGGCGCTTCTCCAACGCGCTCCATTCTCCAGAAAACGCCTTCCGCTGCTCCTGTCGCAGCAGATCGAGCCTCGCGTCAGCTAGCTCGAGAGTCGTCAGATCAGGAAGACTGCACCTGTCAGCTGGGACACGACAGTTCCGTATAAATCGACGGACCCAGCCCGCCACACGGACAGCCTTGGACATCTTACCCCAGCGTTCAACAGGAAATACTTCCTCAAACTGTGAAGTCACCAAACAGAAGGACTCTACTTCAACCATCTCCTCAGTAATAGGATCAGACACCTTCTCGTCAAACGAACACACAGCTCCGTCCGGTGTGCACAAGGTAGCACCGGGCGAGCACACGGCAGCGCCGGGTGAGCACACAGCCCCGCCAGGCGAGCACGCCGCACCGCCGGACGAGCACACAGCACCGCCAGGCGAGCACACAGCACCGCCAGGCGAGCACACGGCTGCGCCGGGAGTGCGCACAGCCCCGCCAGGCGAGCACGCCGCACCGCCGGACGAGCACACAGCACCACCAGGCGAGCACACAGGCGTGCACACAGCACAGCCAGGCGAGCACACAGGCGTGCGCACGGTACCGCCTGGTGAGCACACAGGCGTGCTCACATCACCACCAGCTCGGTACACATCACCACCAAGGGAACACACGTCACCTCCACGGGGGCACACGTCACCTGCACGGGGGCACACGTCACCTCCGGGAGAACTCACAGAGACGCCGGACAAATCGTGCTGCACCAAGACAGACTGGTTCACGTCAGGTGTGTGACAGTGTGACAGCCAAGATGGCCCACTGAGCCACAGCTCTGACCTCACAAGCTCCTCAGCAGACACCCCGCGTGTGGTGAGGTCAGCCGGGTTACACTCCCCCGGACAGTGCTGCCACCGTTCAGGATCCGTCAGACTCTGAATTTCAGTCACTCTGTTGGCCACAAACTCCTTCCACTTACGTGGATCGGCCCTGATCCAACCCAGTGCTACCATTGAATCAGTCCAACAGAGGCACGGAGTACTGTGCGAGAGACGGAGCGCACTCCTCACGAACACGACCAGGCGGGCCGCGATCAGGCAGCCAAGAAGCTCTAGCCTAGGAAGACTAAGCTTCTTAACAGGCGCCACACGGCTCTTTGCCATCACCAGCGACACATGAAATGACCCATCCTCCAAAGGGACACGGATGTAAACGGTAGCTCCATACCCTTTGGGCGATGCATCGCTGAATGCCAGAAGCTCAGCGCCGTGGCCGTCCCTCCACGCGCTCGGCGAGTAGCCGCGCGGCACACGCAGCTCCTTCAGCACCGCCAGTCCACTCAGCCATCTGGCGAACGTCTCACGACAGGACTCCGGCAGCGGGTCATCCCAGTGCAACCCCAGCTGCCACAGCTCTTGGAAGAGAGATTTCAGAGTCATCACAAACGGGCTGATGAATCCAAGGGGATCGAACATGCGTGCGACAAAGCTGAGAACGACACGTTTTGTGGGAACAATGTCGTCAGGCAGTGACACGCCCTGGAATGCGAACAGGTCATCAGTCGGGTTCCAGATCACACCGAGCACCTTCACATGCTCACTCTCACCAGACACACCCTGCGCCTTGTCGAACAACAGGGGGCTGTTAGAGCGACACTTGGTCAACATCATGTGGGCATCTCTCATCACACGCTGAGCCTCTGAGAGCAGCGCGGAGGCCTCACTCTCGCTGTCGGCACCCGACAACAGGTCATCCACATAGAAATTCTCACGCATCTCACGAATGGCAGGAGAATCAGGGTACAGAGACAAATGATGTCTAATCGTAGCACTTAGGAGGAAGGGAGAACTACTGACACCAAAAATGACCCTCTGTGACTTCATCACACGCACACGACCGTCACAGTCCCACAGGAAACGGTGGGTGTCTTGATCCTCGACACTCAGACCGACCTGCAGAAAGGCTTTCGTGATGTCAGCGGTCACTGCGAACGGCCAACGCCTGAAACGCAGGAGAACCTCCAGCAGGTTAGGCAGGAGGCAGGGTCCCACCTCCAAGCAATCGTTCAAAGAGACACCGTTAGGCCCACGAGCGGACGCATCGAACACTGGGCGGACTTTAGTAGAGGTGCTGCTCTCCTTGACTACCGGACGGTGGGGCAGGTAAAATGTAGGGTTCTGGGTTACCAGCTCCTCCACAGGCACCTCTGTAATCACCCCAGCCCCCTCCATCTCACACAGGGCACCATCATAACAGGCACGCAGGTCAGGGTCCCGCTCCAGCTTACGTCCCAGACCAGTCAGCCGCTTCTCAGCACTAGCTCGGTTATCCTGCAACAGGTCAACTGCACCCTCCTTCCATGGCCGTTTCACCACATAACGACCATCAGCTGATCGTTCCACAGTGGACTCGAACGTGGTCATCACATCAGACTCATCACCAGTGGTCACATCCGTCACACCTACTCCCTCCAGTGACCACAGACGGCGCAGCGCCGACTCATGTATGTCACCCAGACACAGGAGCTGACATCCACCCTTGTGGTCATCTACGCCACTCACCTGACCGCTCAGCACCCAGCCGAACACAGTTCTCTGAGCCACCATACCCTCTCGCAGTACTCGCGTCTCCCCACTTACCAGTTGCCAGAACTGATCAACACCGACCAGAATGTCGATGTGCAGACTCTCACTCTCTAGCGGGTCAGCCAGGACTACACCATCAAGCTGATCCAGAACAGAGGCCGGCAGAAGTGGACGCGCGAGGGGGGCACATATGGCTGGAACCGCCACAGCTCTGAGGTTCTGAGGGGCAGATACAGAACCATGTGAACCACTCACACTCAGCTCATACACGTCACGGGTGGCTCTGGGAACCTTTCCTCCTCCGAACACTGCATACCCCACCTCCGTGGAGCCACACCAACGCGGCTGCACCTTGCGCACAAGCGCACTGCTCACGTAAGTAGTGTCTGAGCCAGAATCCAACAGAAGGTTGGCCTCAACAAGACTCCCCCCGTGACCCTGCACCAGCACCCTTGCTACAGGGAGCACAGAACACTTCTTATCTCCATCACATGACAGTGACGCACCTCCACCCCCCTGGGGCCCTCCCTCCGGGGCCGCATCAGCCACCACACTGAGACTCTGAGTCTGACTAGAGTCAGACTGAGGCAGAGCAGCTGTCTGCTCTCTCTCCACACCACCTACCTCTACACGGGATGGCACTCCGACACTCTTACCCATGCACAACAATGGGTGATGGTTACCTCCACAACGATCACACATCCTACCACAATCAGTGGCCCGATGGCCCACCTCAAGGCATGAGAAGCATGCGTACAACTCACGAAGCTTCTGAAATCTCTGACGGAGATTCAGACGCTGGAACACTCTACATCTCTCAGAGACATGTCCCTTACCGCAGAAAGAGCACTTAAGCTCAGATGAGTGCAGAGCTGCCCCGGAGGGTAGACCAGGGCCGGTGCCCCGCGCCTCCGTGTACACAGACGGGCGCCGGCTAGTGACAGCAGGGTGGCTGCCCCCACCTCTCGAAGATGAAGAACCGCCGGCACTGCCAGCCCGAGCGGAGACTCCGGCACCACCAGCCCGTGAAGAAGCGCCGGCACCACTGGCTCGTGAAGATGAAGATGATGCTCCAGCACCAGCCAGTCCCACGTAGACACCAGAGCGACCTCGCCGCTCCACCTCCCTCGTCAGGAACCCGATGAGATGATCAAGATCAGCCTCCTTCTCCTCGGCTTCACGGGCCCACTCCAGGCGGACAGCATTGGGCAGTCGGGAAAGGATGATAGGATTTAGAAGGACACCATAGGACTCTCCTGTAATGCCGAGGGCTTCCAGGCTTCTGATGTGGATGAGGAGGATATCTACTAGGTCACGGAGCTTGTCCAAAGGAATAGGATCAAGGTTGAGGAGAGCTTGCACATGAGAAAATATTATTAAATCCTTGCGTCCAAACCGCTCTTGCAGAAGATCACATGTTATCTTGTAACTCTCGCTACTCAATGCGAGCCCCTCCACGCATCTCTTCGCCTCACCATCCAGCAACGTTCTCAGATAGGTGAGCTTTGTGACATCTGCTAACTTCGAATCATGTACTGCGACACAAAACGCCTCCCAAAATGCAGGCCAATCTTGGGGTTTTCCAGAGAAACGGGGCAGGTCCAACCTCGGTAGCTTGGGGGTCTCACCTCGGATCCCAGCACCAGAAGCTGGTGCTGCTTGGTGGACTGCCAGCAGTTTCATGGCCCTCGCTCTCAACATGATCAACTGGTCCAACGACCCTGAAGACTGGTCGGACAGGGTGTCCTCCTCAGATTGTTCCGACTCAAGAGCCGTCTGCGCGGCTTCAAAGTTACACATCCTCCTATCAAAGAGAGCAAGCATGGTTTCCAGTTCAAAAAGATCCACATCTTTGCTTGTCTGTGCGTCACTTTGCTTTGCATCTTTGCTTGTCAGCGCGGCGCTCAGGGACTCGCCTGCACGATTCAGCCACCCTCGGGCGGCGTTCCTCGAACGCTTCAAGCGCTCTATCTCCGCCATACTCGATATCAGACTGGAAACGGGAAAGAACAACTCAGTAAATATTCCCGGGCAGTTTCGGCACCAAAATGTTGACAATTCAACTTGACTCAACTCTCAACTCTCAAATAAATCCGAAAAATCTCCGACACAGACCTGGAGACACGTGGCTCAAGCCATTTCAATGCGTATATATTGAATCAGACGATTCCTGCGCACCACATCACATTTCTCAGGCCACGTCGACGACCGTCGAAACACTAAACCACTGCTAAAAAATAGTCGTTGAATCGCTGCCAAGAGAAGCGTTCACTAAATTCCGTAACAGCAACAATTACAAAAGTGACACCTCTTCGTTTTGCACGTGGCACGTGCATAAGGGGTCACCCACATGCATCGGGAATAGTCCAATACTTGGTAGAAGGAATGAAGCTACCCTACAAAAATTACCGCGTGTAAATCGGTCAAGTGGTTGCTGAGATATAAGCCTCGCAAAAGCGTGACCACGGCCGGCCGGCCGGCCGGCCGCTCATACTCAGAAATTTCCGTTAATCTAAGGAAAGACTACGCTCGCTTCGCTCGCTCCGTAATAATGACGAAATCACTTCAGTCAATTTTTTGGTCAGGTCAAAGGTCAGGTCACCAGAGGTCATTGAAGGCAAAATTTCGCCGATTTTCAGGTCGAATGTCGAAAATTTCCAAGAAGCCAACGCATAACTCGGGAACCAATAGAGCTACAGCGCCGCGGAAATACGCATTCGATAGCCCTATTAACGCCCTTTCTGAGTAATTCTCTCAGATTTGACCTAACGTCAACGGTTTTGCCTGCAGGGGGCAAAAACTGCAAAAATAGCCGATTTTTTCGGAAACAGTTTTTCTGCAATAACTTTTGACCCAAGCCTTGTACGAGCTTACTTTTACCGGCATCGTGTTCCTCTCGTCAAGACGCATCGAATGAACTATAACTTGACCTTGAAAGGTCAGCTTGAAAATTTGACCTCAGGTCAAGGTCATGACCTGACCGGAAAGGGTCATGTTGCATATCAGTCGATCCGTATCGTCGAGCTGAACACATCTAAGATGTTTTTATCGCTCTAGCATGCCTCTATCAAAAGTTATTTGCGAAAAACTGTTAGATACCATTCGTGACCTAAGATGACCTCAGGGCATAAACAAGGGTCACGGACACCATTTTCATGTTCAGTGTGTCTAAACCACTTGTAATTCGGTGTTTGGGAGTGTTTATAATGTCTTTCGTCCAAAAGAGGCGCATTTCAATTTTCTCCCATTGACTTATAACCCTCGCCCGCACATGGGGGGGGGGGGTGGTTGCCACCCCCCCAGGCAGTCTTTCTGCTCTGCACTCAACATTTTTAGAGCTAGAAGGCTGATTTTTCGTATAGCTGCTCGTCTATCCTTTCTTGATGTCCACTGAAAATTTCAAGTTTCTGTGATTTTTGGTTTCGGAGATATGACCTTGTTTTTCAGGTCATGTCATGACCCAAATGGCCAATTCTCAACATCTTGCGTTTGCCATGGGCCTTGTTAGCTTTTGACACCCTGATTTCGGCCTTTTTTGCCAGTCTTACCTCCCACCTATCATGGAACATGTTGTTCGACGATGTACAGGGGTCAAGGTCAGGGTCAAGGTCAACCTAGGTCATCTAAGATAATTGCGTTTTAGGCAAGCTGAATTTACTTTTTGTGAAGTTTTTTGACTGCATTTTTGGTAAAAGCTTCTCAGATCATGATTTCATGTGATATGGACCCAAAAACAATCGGTGCACACATCAGTATACACACAGACACACACAGACATACAAACACATATAATTGACCTTGACCTAACTTGACCTGAAATGACCTCAGCAGCAAAATTCTGGTCGGATAGTGTGACAAAGAGGCTCTAGCTGGCTTGGCACCAGAAAACAGCATCGTCATCGGTATTTGATAAGCAGCGCACTTGATATCCAACGGTGACCCAAAACAGCTACATTTTTTAGTTTGACCTGACCTGGAAGGTCAGTGACTGACCTGAGAAGGTAAAACTGGGTATCATTGGATTCGTCTCTTCCCAAAGAATCTTTTTGGTCTTTACTGCTAAGCTCTATCTCCAACAGGAACGAAATGGCGCGGGGGGGTGGCAACCACCCCCCCCCCCATGTGCGTTCTAGGATGGGAAAATGGCATGTGCGGGCGAGGGATAATGGGAGGTCTCAAAATTGACCTGACCTTAGGTCATCGATATCAAAATTCTGAGATATACATTTTGTACATGCTATTACTCTTAGCAATCGCTGAAAGTTTCAAAGCGATCGGTCACTCGGTGTAGCTGTGACAGACATTGAAACTTTTTATGAGGTGAGGTCACTTCAAGTGACCTGGTGACCTGACCTTGAATGACCTTGGTCTAAAATTTTCACAACATGTGTAGAATTGATGTATGATAAGGTGTACCAAAAACGGCGGCGCTCCGCGCCGCCGTTTTTGAGATATTCGCGAAAAACCACAAGGGGGGGTGTTCAAACACCCCCCCCCCCAGCAGGGCGCGGGTTAACCCGCGCCCGGCTGGGGGTCCTGGATTTCCACGCCCTGCTGGGGGGGGGGGTGTTTGAACACCCCCCCTTGTAACTCGGCTCCTGGGCCACGTAGCGATACGCGGAAGGCGGCGTTCGAAAGAGCGTCAAAAATAATGACGAAATCACTTCGGTCAATTTTTTGGTCAGGTCAAAGGTCAGGTCACCAGAGGTCATTGAAGGCAAAATTTCGCCGATTTCCAGGTCGAATATCGAAAATTTCCAAGAAGCCAACGCATAACTCGGGAACCAATAGAGCTACAGCGCCGCGGAAAAGCGCATTCGATAGCCCTATTAACGCCCTTTCTGAGTAATTCTCTCAGATTTGACCTAACGTTAAAGGTTTTGCCTGCAGGGGACAAAAACTGCAAAAATAGCCGATTTTTTTGGAAACAGTTTTTTGGCAATAACTTTTGACCCAAGCCTTGTACGAGCTTACTTTTACCGGCATCGTGTTCCTCTCGTCAAGACGCATCGAATGAACTATAACTTGACCTTGAAAGGTCAACTTGAAAATTTGACCTCAGGTCAAGGTCATGACCTGACCGGAAAGGGTCATGTTGCATATCAGTCGATCCGTATCGTCGAGCTGAACACAGCTAAGGCGTTTTCATCGCTCTAGCATGCCTCTATCAAAAGTTATTTGCGAAAAACTGTTAGATACAATTCGTGACCTAAGATGACCTCAGGGCATAAACAAGGGTCACGGACACCATTTTCATGTTCAGTGTGTCTAAACCACTTGTAATTCAGTGTTTGGGAATGTTTATAATGTCTTTCGTCCAAAAGAGGCGCATTTCAATTTTCTCCCATTGACTTATAATGGGGAGGTCGCAAAATTGACCTGACCTTAGGTCACCGATATCAAAATTCCGAGATATACATTTTATAGATACTGTTACTCTTATCAATCGCTAAAAGTTTCAAAGCGATCGGTCACTCGGTGTAGCTATGACAGACATTGAAACTTTTTATGAGGTGAGGTCACTTCAAGTGACCTGGTGACCTGACCTTGAATGACCTTGGTCTAAAATTTTCACAACATGTGTAGAATTGATGTATGATAAGGTGTACCAAAAACGGCGGCGAGCGCCGCCGTTTTTGAGATATTCGCGAAAAACCACAAGGGGGGGTGTTCAAACACCCCCCCCCCCAGCAGGGCGCGGGTTAACCCGCGCCCGGCTGGGGGTCCTGGATTTCCACGCCCTGCTGGGGGGGGGGGTGTTTGAACCCCCCCCCCTTGTAACTCGGCTCCTGGGCCACGTAGCGATACGCGGAAGGCGGCGTTCGAAAGAGCGTCAAAAACCAGTATAACGCCTTTTGGGGCGACTAACGGAGCGAGCGAGAGGGTGAGCCTTGCACGTGCGAAATTTCGAGGGGGTACCTCCAGCTGACTTGTGCACGGCACCCTACTAACCGGTCTCTAGCGATGTGCCAAATTTGAGCACAATCGGCCCAGCCGTTCTGGAGATCTGGAAGCGGCACCCTGCACGTGCGCACGTGCAAAATGGGTCCCAACTGACTTTTGCACGGCACCCTACTAACCGGTCCCTAACCATGTGCCAAATTTGAGCGCCATCGGTCTAGCCGTTCTCGAGATCTGGAATCGACCCCTGCACGTGCGCACGTGCAGCAGCACCCCAATTCCGGCACATGGATATGCATTGCCTAGTGAGTGTCTACCTACATGCCAACTTTCAGCGCAATCGGCCAAGTAGTTACCGAGATATTGCAACAATTACAAAAGTGACACCTCTTCGTTTTGCACGTGGCACGTGCATAAGGGGTCACCCACATGCATCGGGAATAGTCCAATACTTGGTAAAAGGAATGAAGCTACCCTACAAAAATTACCGCGTGTAAATCGGTCAAGTGGTTGCTGAGATATAAGCCTCGCAAAAGCGTGACCACGGCCGGCAGGCCGGCCGGCCGCTCATACTCAGAAATTTCCGTTAATCTAAGGAAAGACTACGCTCGCTTCGCTCGCTCCGTAATAATGACGAAATCACTTCAGTCAATTTTTTGGTCAGGTCAAAGGTCAGGTCACCAGAGGTCATTGAAGGCAAAATTTCGCCGATTTTCAGGTCGAATGTCGAAAATTTCCAAGAAGCCAACGCATAACTCGGGAACCAATAGAGCTACAGCGCCGCGGAAATACGCATTCGATAGCCCTATTAACGCCCTTTCTGAGTAATTCTCTCAGATTTGACCTAACGTCAACGGTTTTGCCTGCAGGGGGCAAAAACTGCAAAAATAGCCGATTTTTTCGGAAACAGTTTTTCTGCAATAACTTTTGACCCAAGCCTTGTACGAGCTTACTTTTACCGGCATCGTGTTCCTCTCGTCAAGACGCATCGAATGAACTATAACTTGACCTTGAAAGGTCAGCTTGAAAATTTGACCTCAGGTCAAGGTCATGACCTGACCGGAAAGGGTCATGTTGCATATCAGTCGATCCGTATCGTCGAGCTGAACACATCTAAGATGTTTTTATCGCTCTAGCATGCCTCTATCAAAAGTTATTTGCGAAAAACTGTTAGATACCATTCGTGACCTAAGATGACCTCAGGGCATAAACAAGGGTCACGGACACCATTTTCATATTCAGTGTGTCTAAACCACTTGTAATTCGGTGTTTGGGAGTGTTTATAATGTCTTTCGTCCAAAAGAGGCGCATTTCAATTTTCTCCCATTGACTTATAACCCTCGCCCGCACATGGGGGGGGGGGGGGGGGGTGGTTGCC